TATACATATGTGTATATGTATACATATACATATACATATATATATATATATGTACATATACATATATATATATATAAATCTCTCTCTTCAGGGCACTCAGTCCCCTCCACAGGACTACCACATTGTAAATGTAGCGATGGATAATAAAAAAAGAGTGAATGAACGAACGAAATAAATTAATGAATGAGTTACTGTTAAATTGGACTGAAATGTAGTGGGACGGAACGGAACGGAATGAAATTGAAGGAAGAAACAAACAATGAACCAGTTTATGTCTGCATGTAGGTAGGCAGGCATGCATAGAAACTATGGGTATACATGAAGATACGCGTGTACGCAGCTTGCATGCATGGATTGGTTGGTTGATAGGTAGATACGGACACATATATCGATGGACAGATAGATAGATAGATAGATAGATAGATAGATAGGTAGATAGAGGAGATAAATAGACAGACAGATCGACAGATAGATGGGTGGACAGATAAACAGATAAACGTGCATGCACGTTTGACTGAAGGTTTGTTTTTTTGATTTGTTTGTCTTCTGCATGCTTGTGTGCCCGTGTTCGTGTGTTCCGGTGCATGTGGACTTCTGTATAAGGCAAGAATGCTCGTCTGTCGGTCCGGTGAGCTTGCTGGTACATGGTGCCTGCAGGAAGCCATGCGCGGCCTCGGCCTCCTTGCGCTCCTGCCTTGCGCTGCGGCTCTGAGCGTCAATGAGACGGCCGCACAGGCCTGTGGGGCAGGGACCTTGAGATTCCATGTCAGGCCTTCGCTCCCAGACTGTTCGCTTGACTTGCTCCTGTCTGGCTGCTAGCCGCTTCGGCTGAGTGGCTTTCTGACATAGCGTCAGCACACTTCCAGAGGTCGGTTTCGGACAGTTGGGACGATGTGCAGCTGGGTTTTGGATAAATACAGTGTATCAGCCAACACATTCTTGACCAAGCACAGCCAACAGGCTACCTTTCAAATGCGTCTCTAGCTAGCATGTTCCAGCGCTGAAACGCTGAATGGAGGGGCTCTTCACAGACCCCAATTGCACCCAAAGCCTGCCCTGGGCCACTTGGCTCTCTGGGCTTGACGAGCTCACCCTGGGCGCCGCTGCTGCTGAGCCAGGACTGCCTCAGGCAGGAGAGGTTGAGATGTCGTTGTTGGGGCAACGTCTCGCATGTGCGTGGCCGCGTGGCAGCACGCTTGGAGGCGCAGAATGCGCAGCGTGCGGAGGCTGGTGGCACCTTTTGTCGTGTCAAAGGGGTCCTTGCGCTGCCGAACCAACTTTTGCAATGCAGGAGGCAGCAGCAGCTCTTGGTCTTTCTCCGGATCCCAGCTGCTTCCTCGGTTCTGCTACTCTGCTTCTGGCACAGGTGCAAGTCATTGGCAAGCTTGGGGTCTGTTCGAGCTGTCAGTATCACGTCTGTTCGTGCCCCGTTGACGCTCGCTAGCCGTATGTACCAGAAAAGCGGGTAGATACCCGCAAAGCCAGCATTGGCGCATTGGATCCTCCCAGCCGGCATGGCGTTAAGGATAATGCTAGCTGGGCCGCGCACTTCAGTTTCTGCTACTCCCTAAAGCCGTTCCTGTTAATCCCCGCACCCGTGGCATACCCCTTGAACTTGCAAATGTGTGAGTGTGGTAACATGTGTACACCTTCCAAAGGATGAAACCATGCAAAAGAAGTGTGTGGATATCTGTGTTCTTGGCTTGTCAAGCAAGCTCACCGACGAAGCCCAAACTTCCTAGCCGATGTGCAGGAGTATGAAACGGAAGCACGAATTCGTTGCTTTGCCTGGAGTGTTCGAGTGTGAGAGCTTTGCGAGAAACCCGCTTGCATGTGCGGAATCAGGCGAATCTTGGGGTGTTGAACTTTTCAAGAAGCCTGCTGCAACTATCCGCCAGTCTTCTCTTCCTCTTGCGTGCCTGCTACATCCCTCGAAGCTCGGAGGCGGAGCATGTCCGCCCGCAGGTGGCAGGCTCCTGGCGCCGTGGACGTTTCGTAGCGGCACTGCACACCTTCGTCCGCTGCTCAGAGTTTCCACAGAAATCGCAGCACGAATTTGTAGAGTTGAGTTCGTGAGAAGGCAAGAAAAGCTGCCAGGGCTCTCGCTGAACTCTCATGTGGCTGGGCACCCTCCATGGCTGGAGGCCTTGCTGCATGACCACTTCCTGACAGCAGCGCACCCTGGCTTCTTCGTGCACAGTACTTGGCCAGTTGGAGATCAGGACCGAACCTAATCCGACCCCAGTTGTATTCAGTGAGAGAGCAGTCTCCGCTTTGCAGTGATTTGCAGGATGTGCGATACTGGAAGGACCGACTGCTCTATCAGATTCGGCGCTTTCGGGAGCTGGTTGGTCGATCCCTTCATCTGGGGGCCACAGCTTTCACCGAAGACTCCATCCCCGATGATGTGGAGCGAGATGCTTGACTCGGCACTCAGAGTTCGCGAAGGCTAGCTTTTTCTGAGCTTGTGGGAGGTGTTGTTTACAGATTTGCTTTGGGCCAAACGAGACTGCAAGGGCGCCTTAGCTGACACACCACACTCGCACCCGCCTTATTCCAAGAGAACGGATAGGCCCTTGAGCCGCTATCATTCCGCAACATAGCCGCAGAGTACATCTGCAAAACTGAGCTTGCCAGAGACTCCGTTCACCGCGCAGGCTTCTTTTTCGACTCGTGGTTGACAAGCAGCAACATCGAACGAGTTTGCAAGAGGGTAAACAAACGCGTCAAAGTTGGTATTGTTGCTTGCGTTGAGGAACGAGCTTTGCCAGGCGTCGTTCAGCGCAGGTTGAAGCGGCCTAGGGTTTTTGGACCAGTTCGCAACACAGCATACAAGGAATACTGCATCAGCCACATTCGCTCACCAGCATCTGCTTGCAGTTCACATCTGCGATATTCTGCGATTTCCCTCCCCTTAGCTTTCGTCCGCTCTGCTCTCAAGTGTTCTTGCAATGACGAGAGCTTGCCGTGGACTGTGCTGCGCTGCAGTTGAGGAGAACCTGGGAGGCTTTGCCTCACATGCACTCCAGCAGCAGGATGGGCGACGGCAGGGGAGGAACTGGTCGGATTCAACTTTGTGGCGGCCTGTGTGGGAGTTGGCCCCATCCGCTGCATTGATCCCATTCAAGGATGTGGCGCCACCGGTTCGCGTTTATGTGTATGGAGAAGGGGATGCGCCGATTGGGAAGCTAACTCGTTCGCCTGCTTTCTGCCACTATCGCCAGTGGGGCATGGACGTTGGCTTTCATGACTTCTTCAGGACATCTCCCATACGCACCTTTGACCCAGAGATGGCTGACTTTTTCTTCGTTCCGAGTTATGCCTGCTGCCATCAGGTGGCGGGAATCTCAGATTTCGATGAGCTGGATGCCGATCATAAGGCTCTGGTTTCGCAGCTGCCTTACTTCGAGCGCAGCAGGGGGCGAGATCACATTTTCTCCTTTCACTACATCGACCTGTTTCATTCGTGGAGGAAGCACATACCTTACAGTGTGATCCTTACTCCAGAGACGGAGGTTGGTTTCGAGCGATCTCTTGACGACTTCGGTCCGGACCATGGCCGTTTTCCACCTTTCAACCCACTGAAAGACATTGTGGTCCCGCCATTCATCAACATGAAGGACATCCTTGGCTTCGAGACGCACGCGAAGCCAATGAGAGAGCGGGAACATGTCGCGACCTTCGCGGGCAAGCTGTGGTCTGACATCGTGGAGGCCGCCGACGTTCGAGGAAAGGTTGTCGCTCTGTCTTCTGCCCCGGGCTTCAAGATCCACGCTTTCGCATCCATCAGGGACATGCTGAATCCGGATGGCATGCAGAGGTGAGCACAATGACAAGCGCAAGCCTTGTGGGTCGAAGTTGTCATGTGCACCAGCATCAGTTAGGAAACTTGCCACAGGCTCATGGGAAACTCGGTCTTCTGTCTGGTACCACGCGGGCGGGCAGCCTGGTCAGTTCGCTTCTTCGAGGCAGGGGCCTCCCTGTTCACCTCGGACTCCTCGTTGCGCTAGATTTTTCTGCAATTGAGGCGCTCTGGGCTGGCTGCGTGCCGGTGCTACTGTCGGACTGACTCAGACTGCTTCGGATTTTCCTTGGGTTTGCTGCTCGACTGGCTTTGACTCGCACATATTGAAGTCAGGACCACTACCAGCCTTCCTTCGATCAGCTTTTTGATGTGACGAGGCGCAAGTCGAGATAGCATTTGTAAGAAAGCCGGGCACGGAAGTCCACCGTGGACCACGGGAGAAGCCACCATGTCTTATTGCAGATTCTTGCCATCTAAAGATGCATGCAGCAACGAAGAGCTCTTGGTTCAGGTTTGTCATAAAGTGGCCTGTGTCGAGAATTGATGACTCCCTGGTCTCCTACCTTCACTCGCTGCCTTTGGACTGAGCTGGGTAGTTGTTGCATGCAGTGTATTCAAACGGTGGTCATGAGTTTCGACTGGGAGTCCAGCATTCAGAACCCTTTGCCGCAAGCGTTCCCTGAATGCGCAGGAGGTGGCCGAGCGCTATGCAGAGGAGGGTCGGCGCGTTCGATGTGGCTCGGCTGCACTTCCACCCGCACCCTGCCTGTGCTTGGAACGAAAGTTCTCCAGGCTGGTACCTGTATCCGCCGCCTGAAGTATCCTGGATTGGTGATTGGCCTTCTCGGAGCCTGGGATCATGCCGGTCGCAGTTTGCTTTCCGGGGGGCTGTCTGCTGCCCTGCAGCACAAGGAATGAGCTCGAAGAGGTCGAGAAAAGGGTGTGTCCCAACTTGTCTTCCTCACGCAATGCGTTTCAGGCCCGGTGTGCCGTGGCATAGGCCCATGGGCACAGTCCTGTTCTTGCGGCTTAGCACTTGCAAGCTCTTGCAGGCTGTCGTTGAGATTCTGCGGCGCCGTGCAGTGAAAACTCGGCTACGACCTGTTCCTCGGCTGACTTCGGATAGGCCGAGCATTAACTGCCGTGTTCCGTATGGAGGACGGGTTCTATGCGGCGGACCCGAAGCAGGGATACCAGCCGGTGCCCATGGACGATCGATTGAGACCCATCAGCTGAGAATTTCGTCCATCGGTCATACAAGACAATCCTGCTAGTAGGCAGGTGCAGGGATCCGCTGCTGCACTTCTGGAAGATCAACCATTGGGCCGGGCACGATATGGGAGCACTCGTGAGACACACCTGCGGCTGACCCTCTCATCACTTGAAGACGAACAACCACGCAATTGCATGCGTGCACGTGAGCGATGGGCTTCTGGTGGGTGCAGGCGCATTCCGGCAGGTCTGGCGAAGGGCCCCCGCTCTCGGCATGCTGTCCGCACTCGCCACCTGCTGGCAGTCACGGCGGGAGGAAAGAAAGGAGCTTTTGCGGAGATGTGCCCTGCACCTGTTCTTTGAGCACTAGGTGTCTCGTGAGTCAGTGCGATATCAGCAGGCACGGCCTGTCAGCAAAGTCGTGGGCCTCCTGCAAGGTATGAAGGAGACTGTCGGCAAGAGCTTGTCGTGCCGTGCATGTTCATGTGGCTGTGCTGTTTGGTTTTTCATGCAGTTGTAAGTCATCGTCTTCGTGAATGTGTTCACTGCCTGAGTGCCCTCGTACACCATTACTCCGGTTCAGTCTTGTCAGTTGCATCCGGTATTTGAGTGCTTCCCATGCGCGTCTACCAGACCATACCATTGGGGGGGGGGGGGCGGGAACACCAGAC